TAAAAAAAGTTGATATGTTTACTTAGTCAATGGTAAGTGTAAAAATGTAAAGGCAGTGTACTATGGAACTGAATAATATCCCTGTCGCAGCAAAACTGCAGACTAAGCGAATTTCCATTTGCTTGATTTGATTTTCACTTAAATCTATAAGCATTAAATATTGTTCTTGACATTCGAATGTTGACGATGTTCAGTGCAAACATTTCCTAGTTTTCGATGTAACAAGTGGTGTTGGCGTAATTAAGGCTTCAGGTTGACTCATGGAATTATGTAATATGATCATTATTCTTATTTTAACTACAAAACATTTGTTACACGGACTTCTAACACACTGTAGTATTCTGTAGTTTGTGCTGCTATAAGGATTGCTGCAGGTATTGGTATGGAAGGTTTTTAGTAGACTATTTTTATTAGTTCATTCACAAACCAATCAAGTAATTTATTTATTAAGTATCAATAAAATGTAATACAGTATTGTTTATGTAACTTAATAAAATTTTTGAATAACTAGCAGTTACCCACGGGCTTCACCCCGTTTGACTTATTAAGTAAGTATTAATAAAACTACCTATTGATTGGTTAAGTTAAGCTGAAGTAAACAAAACAGAATACAAGCAAAATATCACACTTTAGGTAATAAATTGAAAGAATAACAAACAAATAAGTACATCTGAGGTATTTTTAATATTAGGTATATAAGGAAATTCGGCAATTTATGAAATAATGGGTAGTTTTGCGCAAGGTTTCTCGTCATGACAAACGTTTTAAGTACTTATATGGTTTATGGGGAGTGACTTTTAGTTTTCTCATAAGTTCATGGGTACTTTGAGATGTGTGGATTTGTTTTTCAGCTAACACCAGAACATGATTTAAGAGGGACCAGGCCCAAGAGATGCCATGGGTTCCTTTTTATCCTTAATTAGTGCCAACCTCATAAAAAAATTACATTTATAAGTCTCATAAGAATTAATTGACCCTTGAGTTACTTTACTATTCATATCAAGAAAAACTTGAAAAGTCTGATTCAACTTTTGAAAAGAAACTCAAAAACCTAAAAAAAATTAAAAACTTTAAAATGTAACCTGCTTTCAAAGAAGCATATCAGCAAAGTCTGTAAATATAGATAGTAAGTTGTATAATAACTGATGATGAATTTGAACTTTGTGTGTTTATAATTTGTCTTTGATTTTTTCGCTTTCTTCTGTTGGGTATATATTGTTCTCTCAGCACTAATGTAAAGGTATTTTGTAAAAAATTAGATGCAACAAAAAAGATGATGTGTAATTGGTTTAAGAAATTTGTTCTCTCCATATATTTATAAATTAACTCATTTTCTAATTTTTAGTGCGTTTAAAAATGTAGTATTTTAATAAGATTTTTTATTCATAAACTAGCTACTGTACCCTTGCTTTGCAACGGAGAGGACACTGAAGAAAAAAAAATTGATGTCCAAATCTGTTGTATACAATAGTTACACCTTTGATTTCAGAAAAATATTTCATTGGACCTCTTAGTTTGAAAAAATATCTTCCTTTCAAGCTAGGCTAACTTATACGGCTTCCTAGTAAAAATTATATGAGGCACTGATGCATGTATGAAAATACTGTAACATAAGATTTAATTTTCAAATATTAAGCTTACTTAAAACTTTACTTAGTTTAAAAACACATACATATTAAAAGTTGATGGGTAAAAAAGAATTGCACAACATAGGGTACTATAAAGCAAAAAACCATATATAATGATTTCGCATAAAATATATAGGCCTATGTTGCAGCTTATGTAAATATCACAGTAAGCAAAAATAAAATGATGGAAAACTTGTATTACATTATGTAAGAAAACCATCCCCTATATTATCGTAAATCAGGGCACAAATTTTATCAATTTGGATAATAGTACACAAATTATAATAATAAGAATAATAAGTAATAAAAAAAGTATAATAAGAAACCAACAACTAATACATAGGTACCAGTTCTTTATATTAATTTACACGCTAACCATTGAGTAAAGGAATATACTTACAAATATTTAATTGATTTTAGAAGCAAAAGTTACAGCTTAGTTTTGTGATATTCTCCATAGTAAAATTAAAGCAGTGTTGTAGAAAAACACAACAACAACTTTTCTCTAAATGTGAAAAAAGCTACTGCATGTGAAGTGCAAGTTATGTGAAATTGAGTATTTTACCATCAGGCCACTCAATCGAAACCACCCATGAAAGACAGTTCAAAAAGGCTTTAGGTTTTACAATAGCATACAAAGAGAAGACTTCAGTATTTTTAGTAAATTAAGCCTAAGTAGGTCCAAAAAATAGAGGGAAATATAAGTAGTAGCTATACCTGGACAAAAAATTTATTGAAGTTTAGTTAGTAAATTGAATGAAAACAAATAATAGTGTAAATAGTCACCTAAATGTTTAAAATATAATTTTTTTCAATTGGTTTTAAAAACAACCATCTAGTTAAAATTTTAATCCAAACATGACGTGTTAATCAGTTCAGATTTGTTAACAAACAGCTACCGGGAACAAAATAATTACAAAACATTTATATATTGTAATGATCCTTCTGTTTCCATCAAAATATACCAATAAAACTACTGTACAATATTCTCATAATCAACTGTGGTTTAGATTCCACGATAAACTGTAGGTCCCTTAGTTGCCATTAGCTGTATGGGCTATTAAATAACAGCTGTGTGCAGATCGCGCCACTCATCCTACACTCATCTCCACTCATACTTGGCATAAAATACCTACTTTGTATGGTCGCCATTTCAATTAAAAGGAAAGTATTAAAAAAAAACTTAAGAATCTTTGGAGCAGAACCTGTACCTCTTAACCTCTGCTCTTTGAACTGTCAAATTAAAGTATTTACAGCTGAATTCAATTACAATATTTGTTTATTTAAATTCTTCTAATAGCTCGATAAGCTTAACTTACAAACTTTACAGGCCAGTGGGGCTTAGCCCTAAGGTTAAAGTCAAAACTGAATACGCCTATATGTTAATCGAGACAAAGATGAATCCAACGAATCAAAAATCATTAAAATCGGTCCAGCCGTTCTTGAGTTATAAGTGATGTAACTAACACGACTTTGTTATATATATCTATCTATCTAATAGGCAAGCACGTTTCTTTAAAACCTTTTTTCTCAGCTCGTGTGCATCGTGGGGTAAATCTATGCATACCGTTAGAAAGCTATTTTCCTGTAGGTGTGCAGAATCCCTTTATAAATTTAAATAGGCTCAAAGATAAGCACAAAAAATGAGTTTAAAAATTTGAAAAAACTAACATGGATCTTATGCGTTGCCATGCTGGTGACGAAATAACAACGAAATATAAACAGAAAATCAAAACAAATGGAAGAAACTCCAATCACATGTTTTATTTACAGTGTGGGGTGAAAATAGAGAAGTGAGTAAGTTTACATTACATATTTTTGGTCGAGTTTCGACCACTGGACGACCTCTCGTATCTATAAAAGAGGAACTATGTATGTATATACATTATGGACTCCGAAACCGCTCGACAGATTGTAATGAAACTTTCAGGCATTTTTCAAGGATGGCTCGTGTGAAGTTTGGTGCAGATCCGTCAAAAGGGCTCCACCCCAGAGGGGAGGGCCAACGTCAGACATTTTGAACTACAATGTTTACAAATAAATAAAATTTAAAAGCAGATGTTTACTTTCACCAACTGTTTTGTAGGTTTGAATAATCACAACATTCTGTATTAGTCATGATTTGAAATAGTGCCACAATGTTTCTACAGAGTGCAGCACAGAAAACTATTTTACTTTTGAATAAGTCCAAAAATATTAAACCCCAATCGCAGCACACCTGTGCACTCAACAACGTTTAAATTCTCCAATGTTAAATATGTAAAACATAAAAACCTTTATCAAAGTATTATAATCAATAAAAGGGATAGCAATGCCTTAATATTTTTTTTTATCTTTTGTTCTATACCCACACAATCTAACATAAATTATTAAGCTAATAATAATCGTGCGTGCTATCTCGGGTATTTAACTGCCTCTCAATTTGTCACTAACCCACAACTGTCATTAAAAGAAGGAACTCCAATAATACTAATGTGAAACTTAAATCCACCAAAGCTGTGCAACGTTATTAGACTGACGATTAAAAAAATGACACCAAAATTGATATGAAGCAAAAGTTACCAGTGGCAGGTTTAAAGGAGAAATAGTCTCAATCCCAAGCACACTGACGATTTCATCCGAATTACCCTCTGAATTTAAGCAACTACAATTTCCTTTGTGTCTTGCTTTCGCAATCACCATTATAAGACACTAGGGAAATCCCTGACTATCGTCGGTTTAAATTTATAAAATGCATGCTTTTCACACGGACAACTTTATTTTGCGTGCTCACGTTGTGGTAGGTACGCCTGAAAACTTATATATTTATACAACTAATGAAAAAACAAAACAAATTGTCGTTTTTATTTTTGGTATACACTTTTATTATTCATCGTAAAGAACAAGTTGCCATTTAAAATAATAGTTGTCAAGCGCAGCAACGCGTGCCGGGTAACTGATAGTATATCTCTGTGGTATATATATATATCTCCGAAACCGCTCGACAGATTGTAATGAAACTTTCAGACATTATTAAGCATCTTTCAAGAATCTTTCAAATTGTAGAATATATGTATAGATTATTTATGATATAGAAAGTTGATTTGTGAATTTCATATTTCCTTTCATAATTTAATATGTCTGGAGAGAGAATTTATATATTTAAGTAAATCACCCAAGGAAAACACTAACCTTGAATTTTGAAAGCCACGGGGCAGAGCTTAGACCAATTTCAAAGTTAATAGTTCTATAAGAATCCTCGGTACGTAGCTGTAATTTTAAGATATTTAAGCCCAGTCGGTTCATTAGATTTTGCGTTTACCTCGTAGGTACACCACCTCCTTTTTATAATATTATATATATATAAACTTAATAGCTAATAATGTGTTACAGGGATGTTGAGGGTCTTAGTGTTGCTCATGGTGTTGGCAACGGCACTAGCAAGCACTGGAAAAAAGCTTAAAAATTCACCGGCGAAACCTCTTACACCCTTTCTGAAAAAATACTACATCATAAACTATGAGAAGAAACACTTCACATTTTTTAGAAATGTCGGAATTTATCAGGATCTATTAGAGGAAATGAACAAACAGAACCGCTGGGCTCTTTGGCTGGTTTTTAAAGATGACAATCTTCATTTTATGCGCCGGCCTTGTTATCCACGTCAACTCAAACCGTTGGATACGATGATAGTATTTGGTGAAAATAAGGAAGTTGTAAATGGGATCCCAGTTACTGTCGACACCTCTGTAAAAGGAACTACATTGACAATGTCAAGAATATGCCAAAAAGATTCCAAGAATATAGCTTCTATGGTGACATCCATGACATTCTCCGAGAATGCATTAGAAATCACCAAGACATTCGATTTGAAAGAGACCCGACGTAGAGTTTTTCACAAGCATGAGTATAACAAGCATTACAAGACGGACCTGACAGCAAGATTGAGTGATGAAAAAGAGGAATGCCTGAGAGAGCAATGATGAGTAGCCTCCAGGCAGATTTGATCAATAAACACTGTTTGATACATGTATTTTTTGTTATTTGCCTGTAAGATGGCCATGTACAAACGCAATATGAATTTAGCGGTAATATTTTGAATGATACGTGTGAAGTCACAGCTTTAGCGGGTTCATAGAACTGTAGTAGTAATAAAACACAAAGCATCAAGAACTTTTGTTCAAGAATGTGGTTGATAGAGTTTTCTCAAAAGTTCATTATCCTCATTAGCTTAGACATATACATAGATGGATTAATGACTGTGACAATGAGTATCGAAATATACATTAGTACCTAAATAAAAATATTAGTACCCCCGCCGCAGCAAACCTGCAGACTAAGCGAATTTCAACTTGTCTGATTGCATTTTTACTAAGATGTTTCCATAAATAAATTTTTTTCTAACGTAAAGGTAGGATTGTTATCCTTTATTTCAAACTAGAATTTTACGCTAATTACAATGCCGCAATTAGTTTTTAAAAATCTTGATCCGTTCTAAAGTTATGAGGACTTTTTATAAATTTATTTTTTGCCCATTTTAACATTGTGCAATGTGCATTTTCAAACTAAGACCATAATCTCAAAATAGTCCTCAAAATCTATAAAAAGATAAGTATACACCACCATTCATGGTCGACCTATTTTCACTTGGTTATGACGGATGTTTTTTTTCGGTCGCCATCTTGGATCTTGTTTTCATACAACAAATGTAAAGATAAAAACGTTTCTATTTTGGGTCCTCTTCCCGTTGCAAAGCACGGGTACAACAACAGCTAGTAGGAAATAAATATGACAATTTTAATGGAATATTTTAGTAGAAATCCTGCCAGGTAAATGGAAATTCGCTTAGTCTGCAGGTTTGCTGGGGCGAGGGTATTTCACTTTTGTAACGTGACTTTTCCAATACAGCTTATTTTGAAATTTTGGACATCAATTTTTTACAAGGACATTCAAATAAAATTAATAGAATGTTGCCACACATAATCAAAATTTAATCTGTCCCCACGCCCTATTATTACAATAGTAATAGCAATTGCCTTTCGAATTACTTCTCTCAAAAACAATAGTCATTTACACTTGTTTCCATTTTGTAATATTATGAAATGTTTAGAGTACCTTAGATTTGTTATCCGGGACCTTGTGACAACATTTAGTAGATTAACTTAAAGGTGTGTGCTCAATATATCACCATTTAGATGGGCCATCGAACAATCTTTGTTCGTATTCAATTCGTGTTAAAATATTTGTACCTTTTAACGATATAACGGAGGATAAGCCATGTGTGTTGATTTGTCCTACGAAAAAAAGATTCGTATTTGTAAAAGAAAGTGATAATGATAAGCGTATTTATATTTATAAAGCTACTAAATACACCAAATACAATACACACATATACGCTGGCTGAATGCAATACAGTTTTTTTTTTGCCTGGAATGCTTGGAAGTTTCATGTGACAGTTAATGTATTTGAATTGCTCGAGTCATCGTAATTGGGTAGACAGCTTACACGGGGGTATGAAAAGTGTCAAGTCCAATGGAAGAGTGAATAATATATCCGCTGAGGCAGTAGGTTATATAGGTCTACAATGTAATAAATGATGATTTATTGAATTTCTCAAATAGGAAATGATCTGAAATAGCTATTACCGCTACTGGAAAAGAGGAAAATAGCTATTCCTGGATACTGGACCAAATACTTACTCAATTTGTACGAATTAATGTATATTTGTTGTATGTATTTATATTTGTGACACTCCAGTAAGAATCGTCCGATTTCTATGAAATTTTGTACAAACGTGTAAACCTACGTTTATTCGATGCTGAATAAGCAACGATTAGTGTTAATATTAAAATACGAGAAAGAAAATTCTCAACTATCTAAAATGCGTGATTGAGGCACATTGTATGATAAAACGTGTTAATTTGTATCTTCAGCTAATAGTGCTAACAAAAGATAGAAGAGATATAGAACAAAATACTATGGGTTTCACCGCACAGGTGCACTCTTACATGTACATAAAAACCCATAAAAAAGTACCCAAGGTAAAAGACACAAAAAATTATGTAAACAGAATTACTGATTGAATTCGTTATCTGTAGCCTATTTACTGAATGATAAACTATTGGCCATACCAAAAATTAACTAATTACCTACTGTATTTGCAATATTGATTACGAGTGTTTCCAAATTTTAATATTAAATTATGTTACCAGCGCTGGTAAGTGGTGGTTTATCGTGCGAGTACGTTAAACGCGAGTAGCGTACGATACTTTGCATAATAATACACAGAATAATTAGCATATTAAACGCATAACACAATTTATTAAGTACATAACAACTGTTTATTTCATCAGCTGACTAAGTGCACGGTAAAAAGGTTTTACCCCACTACGAGAAAGAAAATTCTCAACTATCTAAAATGCGTGATTGAGGCACATTGTATGATAAAACGTGTTAATTTGTATCTTCAGCTAATAGTGCTAACAAAAGATAGAAGAGATATAGAACAAAATACTATGGGTTTCACCGCACAGGTGCACTCTTACATGTACATAAAAACCCATAAAAAAGTACCCAAGGTAAAAGACACTAAAATTATGTAAACAGAATTACTGATTGAATTCGTTATCTGTATTTACTGAATGATAAACTATTGGCCATACCAAAAATTAACTAATTACCTACTGTATTTGCAATATTGATTACGAGTGTTTCCAAATTTTAATATTAAATTATGTTACCAGCGCTGGTAAGTGGTGGTTTATCGTGCGAGTACGTTAAACGCGAGTAGCGTACGATACTTTGCATAATAATACACAGAATAATTAGCATATTAAACGCATAACACAATTTATTAAGTACATAACAACTGTTTATTTCATCAGCTGACTAAGTGCACGGTAAAAAGGTTTTACCCCACACTACATTATTTTGAAGAACTTCCAACGCAAGGATTTAGTCCAGAAAACAGCTGTTTGCCGCCAGCTTATTTAAATGGGGTTTCATTGCGTACTACTGTACTGCAATGAGTTTTACCAGACACCAATCAGCTGATAACTCTGTATTTATAAAATATATATGGCAATGAGTGATTATAAACAAAAACATAAGGTTATGACTATAGTGATTTTTTAGTCCTTTAGTTGGTGGAAATATTTAAGGATTTGTACGGATTTAGTAGTATGGCGCAAACTATCGCACGTAACTCGTCGAAAATGTGTTTACGCCACACTACATTATTTTGACGAACTTCCCACGCTAGGATTTAGTCCAGAAAACAGCTGTTTGCCGCCAGCTTATTCAAGTGGGGTTTCATTGCGTAATACTGTTCTGCAATGAGTTTTACCGGACACCAATCAGCTGATTATACTGTATTTAGGTGACAGTGAGTGGTTATAAACAAAAACATAACCTCTCACAGGTTATGACTAGTGATTTTTAGTCCTTTAGTTGGTGGAAATATATAAGGATTTGTAGGGATTTAGTAGTATGGCGTAAACTATCGTACGTAACTCGTCCAAAATGTGTGTACCGGACTCGTATGGTAATCCCGTACTCGACTTCGTCTCGCACGGGAACGACCACACTCGTCCGGTAAACACTTATTTTCAGGACTAGTAACGTAATATACTATTACCGCACTCGACTTCATCTCGCACGGGAACGACCACACTCGTCCGGTAAAAACCTATTTTCAGGACTAATAACGTAATATCGACTATTACCGTGCAGTGCACGGTAAAAGTACATAACGTTACTTTTCCGTGTTTAGTCACGGTAAATAGCAACTTTCCAGCCTATCAATACCGATGGAAAAGTGAGTATGATGTAAAATTAATTACATTATACTACTTTCTCAGTAATCTTTATTTTGATTGAATCTTTAAAAACGAATGTAAACAAACAAGAACAAGTCGACTGTGACACAATAACCTGTCGGGCTTTGTTTAGCGTCGCCCTTCCTAAATTAACAAGTCCAGACCTGTTAACGTAGATCTGGAACTTTCCCATTCAAGGCCGTTGGAGGCCACGTGACAGAAAAAACAAAACACAACAATGGGTGAAATAAACATATGTTCTTGTAGCTTCTTTTGGAGCTATCGAAGGTTTGCACGTAGCGTCAAAAATGTTCTATGCTATGGAATATATCGATTGTATTTTTTCTAATACTGTATTAAAATCCAAGTGCTCGAATAACTCGTTTAGTTTGAAAATACAAACACACAGTCAATAGTTTTACAATTTCTTGAAAGTCTGATTTGTGACACATTATGGTACGGTGTTTTCAGTTTGTTCTATGTTATCACATTCACTTGACGTAGACTCTTTATTCTTTTGTGATATTTAGCAAATATTTGGATTAAACTGAATTTATTTGCGCACGTGCATGCTGGGTAATCCCATTTGCTGATCGTTGCTGAAGTAGACTCACTGAGTCCAGTTAAAGTATGTTGAGTCATGAATTTGTTCTGTAAGTCACGTTTGGTTTGAACACTATTTGTTGTAAATAAATAACTTGCATGGTAACCGAGCTTTGCTGAGGCTTATGGATTTTATACTCCTCTTTTTGTTTAATACTAGCTGAACCCGGCAGACGTTGTCTTGCCTTTGACTATTTATAATTTAAGTACCGTAACGTTTAATTGTCTTATTGTATATGAAGTGCTTATAACTAAATTAAAATACGTACGACAACTAATGAAACGCATATAGTACAAAGGATAACCGATTTTGGTCTTTCTATTCGGCTCAATCACGTCCTGGTTGAAGTTCGTTCGCTACGCTCACTCACCTTTAGGTTGGAGCTCGTTCGCTGCGCTCACTTGCCTTCAGGTTAGCTCGTTCGCTACGCTCACTTGCCTTCAGGTTAGCTCGTTCACTACGCTAACTCGCCTCTAGGTTGAAGTTCGTTCGCAATGCTCACTCACCTTTTGGTTGCAAATTAGCTGTTGTCATAAATGTAAAAGAAATAATAGTGCTGCACCCTGTTGGTAATCCTTGTAACTTTAAT